GGGAAAGGCACTTAGGCGTCCGCCCGGTGGGGCCCCTTCTGCACACTCGGTCACCGCCGCAGCGAGAACCCCCCGCGTCGTGACGGGGAAGAATCCCGACAGGTTAGCGTTCCCGGTAACTAGTGCTTAACATTCTTAAGAGTTAAAACTATTTTTCTTTTAACTACTTGTTATTAAAATCTTCCGAAAATACAGGTCTTCTCCTGTCTCCTTAACAAAATACAGTACTGCCTCAATGATTGAAAGCCGTAGGATTAATGGTTCTACCGAAGTGAAATTCAATGAACTGAGTGAAGCGTAGTTCGCCCTGGCGAGCGGTCTCCAGGCCGCAGGTGGACGCGGGGGGAAGAGTGTGCGCTCTGCAACTAGACACCCCTGGCTGCTCAGGTGGCCTCCAGTGAGTCATTTAATTATGTGAGTGCTAGTCTCTCAAGTGTAAAAAGGGCGTTCAGAATTTCGACTCTGCAAGGTTGCTCTAAGGATTATGTGAGGTCACACTTGTGATGCAAAGCGCAGACTGCCTGCCGTAGGACAGGTGCTCAAGGACAGGCAGTAACGGTCGTGCCTGGTGTTGCTATTACTGGACCAAACGGCCCTAGACCGTTCTCTCACTCCTCCAGGTCTTCTTTTTTTTCCCTTCAATTTTTTGGGGGAGGGGTAATTAGGTTTATTTATTTATTTAATGGAGGTACCAGGGATTGAACCCAGGACCTCGTGTATGCTCGAAAGACTCTACTACTGAGCTGTACGCCCCCCTCCCCACTCCTCCAATTCTGCAGTCACTTTTTGCTCTGTTAGTGAGAAGAAAACGTTTTTTCTCTTCTTGCTGTGGCTCTCCACTTTGCTGCTTCTTATATTCTAAGTAGGAGGAGACAGAAAGTCACTCTCCTCCTCAGTGCATGGGCCATAAGTGACTGCCACTCACAGTGTCGTCTGCGGGCCGGCCGCGCCCGGGGTCAGGAGCACCTGCGTGACTGCTAGCAATGCACACTCTCAGGCTCCAGATCGACTGAATCAGAACGGATGAGGCAGGGCCCAGGGATCTGGTCTAACGAGCCCTCCAGGCAAGTTTTCGGCAGGCTAAAATGTTAGAGGCACTGAGACGGAGTAAACAAGCACCGAATGGACTGCTTAGAGCACAGGCTTTGTGATAATAAAGCAGCTCCATAGCTCAGAAGTTTTCCTACTTATTTCGGGACTTCGGCTGGAGGAATAAGGCTGCTGAAAAGATTCTGTTCAAACGACCGGGAAACAAAGGGGGCATGAATGTGCTTGAAAATGTTTCAAGTGATGCACGACTATGTTAAAAATAACACTTCCTATTAAATTCCAAATAAAACTAATTAAACATAGCCTTAAAATATTCAAACAAAAGGCCATAAAATGTGCTAGAGAATAATTGAAACACTTTGGAGATTAATGCCCAGATATCCTGTCCTTTCTCGCCATCTCTCTATCTTACCAGCACTAGTTCATCATCTGTATCGGAGCTACAGACAAGACTAGGTGGGACTGATAATGAAAGGAATGTCTCAGTATGGAAGGGGACAGCAGTCAGGAGAGGAAAAGACACACAGTCAGTTCACAACCAGGAGATGTGCACGTGTTTTTTCTCTATAAAGATAGAAATGAGGTAGTCTGTTAAGATAAACCAAGAAGAGAGGAACGTACTGTTAGCTTAAAGACTTGAATATACTTGCTACGGAAAAAGGGGGAATTGATTCTGAACATACAGAAAAATCACAGGGCAGCATTAAAGGGCCAACTACAGTTGCAGACCCTCCTGCGGTTGCAGGAGTTCTCAGCGGTGACTTTCTCGAGCAGCTTTCAGCAGTGTGAGGAGGGTTAGAGTGAGGAAAGGTTAGGGTTTTTCAGGTCAGGAGTGCATAAAAGGCCAAGGGGACAAGGAAAATGAAGAAGTAAAATTATTGGCTAATGGGGACTAGGCTGGAGGGGAAAAAGGAAGGGGGAAATTGGGATGATGACAAAGAAACCAGAGAGACAGGAGGGTGTTGTCAGGGAGGGGGACACTGGAGGTTCAGAGGTGAGAAGTGTGTTCGGATGCTGTCCAAGGTCAAGGCAAACATACTGGTCAATAAAGTAGAGGGAAAGGTCCCCAGAGTCAAGGGACATGAGGCAGAGTGTGCGTGGCTGTTCACATGGCAAGTGATGTTGTCTAGAATGACTTCAGGTAGAAAGGAGACAGTGAGCCAAACAAAGCTGTTGGAGAAAACGGGAAAATAAATCAGAAGCTTACAGAAAGCCACGTGACTATGACCGAAAGGGACAGAGAGTTCCAGAGCAAGAGGGCAGGAGCCTCACCCGTCTCCTAGGCTCTCCTGAGCCTTTCTTGTGGTTTGGAGTGTGAGTTGCTGGTTCCAGAAAGTAGCGAAACGGATGCCTTCAACATGCTCCATAGTTTTTAAGTTTAGCCTTCCGTTTACTTAGTCTGAGTGTCAGGCTGACTATGCTGCTAAAACATGAACGATTTATCTATCTATTAACACCCAGAATTAGCTATACTTTCACTCTTGGGTTTTTATTTTTTAATTTTTTTTTACCTTCGGGTGGTGAAGCAGTAAAAGCAGATGGGCTTATGACCGTCAGTCCAGGGCTGGTAACAGACCTTCCTCCACTGCCAGAGCGCCTCTGGCACACGATCGACTGTACTTTCTCCTGAAAGATCTTGCCATCTAGGATCAAAACGGTTTGAGAGAATTTTTAAAAAGTATAAAACAAAAATGTAACTTTAAAAGCAAATCATCAAATGCAAATGTTTATGAAAAGAAGTTCAAAGCAGACACACATGGCGCACCTTGTACGCGAGCGCGCCCTGCGAGTCCTGCCCTAGGCTCTCTGACTGCGCCTGGCCACAGCGACCTCTGCTGCTTTGCAGGCCCTCGGTACCTGCAGTCACTGCTGTGCTTCAGCAGCCTGACGCTTCACTTTGTATTTGCTAATATGAGCTCTCCGAGGACACTGCTCATCTCTTCACTCCTTGAGGAAAGGGCTGTGTGTTATGTTTGTACAAAGGCCCTTCGATGTCCAATACGACTCCAAAATTGATACCTCCAGCTTAATCTTCCTTTCTGAGCTTCATATGCTTGTAAATTCAACTGCTTGATTCCTTAAATGCACCACAAATGTGCTAAATCTAAGCCTGAGCCATCCTTCTGCCCTGAATTCACTCCTGTTTTGCTCTCTGGTCCCTTTGGTGGATGCACCCATCTCCCATGCAGGAACCAGGAGCCACCCTTGACCACAGCTCTCCTCTATTCATGACTTGTCAGTCTCCGGGTGCTACTGATTGCTGACTTGTGAACGCTTCTCATCCCCAGAGGAGTGCTATAATGCAGGTACTCTTCACCTGTCACCCGGATTCTTACCAGACTTCTAAGTGGTATCCGTGATGGACATCTGGTCATCCTCACCTCCTCAGAGCTGCCAGAATTCTCTCCACCAAATGTCAGCCCTGGCTAAAAACCTTCCTGTGGCTCTCTGCTGCCTCCGTACCACCCTGGGCAAAGTCCAAGCTTCTCGTCTAACAGAGTCTCCACGATCTGTCTACACACCGCTTCTCCAGCCTTTTTTCTTACATTACTGCAGCAACATCAAGCTGTTTGCTTTGCTGGGAAGGCCCTTCCCTTCAACTCCCACTCAACCTTTAAGGCTCAGAGTAGGCGCCACCTCGTCCAGGAAACATGCCCTCACCATGCTCTGTGGGACCAGAAGACGGAATGCTGACAGCGCCGTGCCTTCCACGTGGTGTAATGACCTGTCACGTCCCCCTGCCTCTGCTGGACCGTGAGCTCCTCAAGGGAGGGGCCGCATGTTACTTGTCTTTGCAACCGCCTTGCTGCCAGGATCTTGGTTCACTGAATGTTTGTTGAACCTAACACACCTCACATGCTCATAATCCCACTTGGATTTTTACTGTGGCTGAATCATCGTATTCACTGATTACATTCCTTAAAATGGCTGCTTCACAACAGTTTCCCGTCTAAGCTTGCAGTCTGCTCCCTCCCAGGCGCGCTCTCGCCTGCTTTCTCACCACGGCCCGCTCTCCTCACCCTCTGAGAACCTGGTCATCCCGCCTGTTCGTCACACCGAGGTCGCTCTTTCTCGTTCCCCCCTCTGCACAGCATTGCTGCCAGCAGTTCTGTCCTTAGCTTCCCTTTTCCTTCCGTCTCAGAGCTTTTCTTCAGTGGTCTCTTCTGTTCCCAGAGCTGCAACTCACTTCTATGCAGGTCGTTTCTCTATACTGAATGTTACTGTAATAATTTACTTACAGCATGTTCCTTGGCTCAAAACAAACACAACAAAGCAAAATCCTTCAATTACCCCTAACTAGAATACAAGTTCAAACTCTCTGACCTTATAGTCAAGGACTCATTTAATATGACCTTGAGGGGGAAGTAATTGAATGTCCCAAACTATATTTATGGTATTATTTCTCACTACTCCTTCATAAATCCCCTATACTTAGTTCATTATTCTTTATTTTCTTTTCCTATTTTTCCTCCTGTTTAAGTCATTCTCTTCACCTGGAATGCTAATTCTCCAATCTACCCATGGAATTTTACCTAAAGTCTTCAATGCCCATGCCAGATACATAATCTATGAGGTCTCTCTCCACAGCTGTCTGATGAAGCCCTCACTCCTCTGACATCTGAGTACTTCTCCTTTTGCATGTACTGGGTACTTACCAGAAATCGTTTCTTACTATAATCATTTGAGTGTACATCTCCCCTCACCTCTTGGCATTTAAGCTCATGCCTGGCTCATTTTAGCTCTCCGCTTTGTCCCAATTCCACTGTGTAATTAGGGCAATTTCTAGCACAGAGACCATTTGATAAATACCCAACAAATGGAGATCAATTGGGAAAAGAAAAACAAAAGTGGAAAAGCCAAGATCTGCAAAGATGATTATACCTACCTA